ATATATATATATATATATATATATATATATATATATATATATACACAGTGCACAGCATAAATTAGTACACCCCCTCTGAAACTTAACAAATTCAGCAATTACTCTTTGTTAATGTTCTTAAGAGATATAATGTTCCAGCAAGTCTGCCTGATCAATTACCAAAGATGCATGTCAAAATTATTCAGGAAAATAAGATTTCTTATCAATAGATTTCTTATCAAGTGATAAAACGTTGTTTTGCAAAAGTAAGTACACCCTCCTAAAAGTTACTAAATCCAAATGTTCTGGTATAAGTTTAAGGCAAATTTTGATCAACAGGTAAGTATGCTGAACTAAAACATTTAAAGAGAGCCATTTCTTGACAATTAAACGTGTTTTAAAGCCAACAGAATAATTTTCAGACTTAATGCTGACTACAGTGGAACCACTTGGGAGAGAACTGTCAGAAGAGTTCTCATTGTTGTTCGTTGTTGAATTGTGCTCCCTACTGTTTTAATGGGAGGTAGCAAAATCTGACGGGGTCGCACAAATCGTCAGAACACCGGTAAAAGCTATGAGAAAAGTGACTGTTTATCTCACAGTGTAAGATACAGCCTGCAGAAGTGACATGCATGGTTGTTGCCCACACTGGAACTACCTACTGTAGGCAAAGCACAATAAACTCCTTTAGCATTTTCCAAGGCCAAAATTTACAAAATATAGACCTCTGGGATTCCATACTCTGCTCTCATGAGACCAAAATCAATCATTTCACACCTAACAGCATCCAAAATGTTATGATGTTGCTAGAGGAGGAGTACAGTGAGAAGTGTTTAGTACATTTCAATTTCGCAATCTTTCCATCAGTTGTATTAGTGATAATTAAGAAAATACATCTTTATTTATTTAGAGGGGGTGTACCCATTTATGCTGTGCACTGTAAAGAGCTGTCAATTTAACATGTTAATCTAATAATTAGTTATGGAAAAAAAATAACATGTTAAAAAAATTTTACACAATTAACACAAATATTACCTATTAAAGCCACAGCAGAACTGTTGTGCGTCTCCAAGGAACACACAATTTCAGAATCAGAATGAGCTTTTATTCGCCAAGTGTGGTGTGCTGTGTCTGTTATTACAGATCGTTTGATATGTACTGAGTATTTATGCGTTTTTAACCTATATCACAGCAGCGTCCATCTTTGAAGGATGTAGTCTGTCAAACATACACAACTGTTAGCCAATCATAGCAGTGGGCGTTTACTTCCGAGTCTACAATCCGCCACACCTATTCAAACAGACTGTTCCGATGAGAGGGTCAAAACAGGACAGAAAATAACCTGTTACTTCTAAATTATGACGTATGTTGATGTAAAAAAACTTGATAACATTAGAAGTGGACCTCAAAGAACAGTACAAAATAATATGACGTCCCTTTTAAAGGCTGAATAATTACAAATGAGCTCCGTTATCTTTACAGCAAAAAAAAAAACTATTACATGTACTGCGTCAGTTCTACATGGTATGTAAGACTCTCTCGCTCTCTCTCTCTTTGTGTGTGAAAGAGAAACACAGAGCACTCTCAGATAAGCAACGGCGAGTCGGGCACCTAAACGCTTTAGTTTAGGGTGCATCAACTAATCTGCGCATCCATTGAGATAAATTGGAATAATGTGCTTTAAAGACGGCGAGCGAAACTCTCATGCACTCAGTCAGAGTGTTCAAGACGAGTGAAGGCGGGTGAAAAAATATATGCAAAACTTATACTTACTCTAACTCAAGCACTGGCGAGTAAAATCGAACTATTTAGTAGCCAGTGGCTAATGATAGACATTATAATTGTCTAACATGAACATTTAGTCGCATATGTGAGTGGTTTACTCGTATTGTAGAGGGTTGCTTATTTTTTAGTTTTTTTGCAGTTTAAATGCTATTTTTGTAACTCATGGTTGTGTTTTGATTGCCAATAGCCACTCAAGTTATTAAAAGCAGCTTTCGGGCTTTAAGAAATAAGCTTTGCATCACTGATCTTAAGCACAAACCACCATAGCTTGTTTGCATGCAGATTTTTTTCCAATATGCTGGCCATGTGTTATGCCAGTGTAGTGTAGAATACAGAATGCATTCTTCCACAGTAAACTGTTCTGTACTGACCAGCAACCAGGATGTTTTTGAGGTTCATAAATGTATTATTATTTATATTATGCTTATTATAGGCCTAGACTACAAGCTGTATATAACACACAATATATCCATTATAAATTCATTTAAAAATGGAAAATGTATTACATTATAGTAGTATATTTTAAATGATAAATGTAATGAATTATTATTATTATTTGTTTTTGTAATTTGTTTTTACGTATGTACTGTATGTAAGCATGGCTGGTAAAATTGGTCTTTCAGCTTCCACTGTGGTTGGT